AAGAGTACTAGTATCATACCAACTAATGCAGGCTCTCATTTAAGTCAAGCAATTAGATTTTTTGGTGTGTAGTATCGCTGAGTATTTTTACTATTTGTGCCGTATTCTGACGAGTCCATGGGGCATGTCAAAATACAATCAACAAGTGAAAATACCAATACTACAACCTAAAACAAAACGTCTAATGAGTCAACTTCTTCCGTTTTTTTTTTTTTTTTTTTTTTTTTTTTTTTTCTGCTTTTCTTATGACTCGGGAAAAGCAAAGCGGATAACACAGCGGTCAAACGATTACACATGCGCTCAAAGAGGGATAATTTACTATGGAGAATCTAGCTGAGACGTAGTTTTTCGAAGTTCCTAAAGAAACTTTCAGGCCAAGACTTATAGACATTGCTGTTTTAAACTTTACGTACATTTTTCAGTTCACCCTCTAAGTGTTTGACACTTTCTACGGCGGCGTGAAGATCAGAAGTTGTCCCTAATTTCGTGGTTGGAGTTATTCTTTGTTGTGTTCATGGTGGAGTTCCTGGTTAACAACGAGGGAATGTGTGAAAAAAAGGAAGAACCAGCCACACAAGATATAAGTGCCGGTAGCAGCTCCATGTTTACAGCGGACAGTAGACGATGCAGCAAGGGTAGAAGAAAGACTGTCATTTGATTTCATCACGAAAACGAAGCGTCGGCGTTAAAAAACATTTGGGATATCTCAAAGTAATAATATAAGACAAAGAATTCATCTTTGTATCATAGACCATAAAACTTAGTGCTCTCTTCGAACTTTGCTTCTCCATCGCTATTAACCAGTTTTTTCTTCTAGCTGTTATGATCGCTTATTTTTACAACTTCTTTGGGTCTTAACAACTAACAATGGGTAACCATTTTGCGCTCCGAAACTTTGGAACAGTTTACATGTACCTTCATTTATGAAACAGTCTACGACCCTGTTCTTTTTTAAAAATCTAAAAAAAAACTATTTTCTTTTTGTGATTATCACTCTTTCAATGAAAGTCAATTTCATTTATTCCCTGTACGCGCAGTAGTATGCTTATAATTCTAAAATGTTCTCTAGAAATGAATTTAATGTGAATAGATATAAGATTCTACCCACGCTATGCTTGATATTCAATTTCTATAGACAGGTTCAAACTACCTCTGTCTGGCCCTAGGAGACTCTAAACTTGTAAGCCGATATCTTTCTTACTGACTATTATTTTATGGTTGTGTCTCGCAAGGACTTAGAACTACCGAATTCACGAATTTGATTGCCTGAAATCAATATGGAAAGCGGTGTAGATTTTCCCATCTAGACCGGCATCTAGATCGGTCTAGAAAAAAAGGTACAAAGAATGCAAAAAAAAATTGGCATATAAGACACAGCCATATAATAAACATCTTATTAACTGAGCTAGGTCGGTCTGTATGTGAGAATCTTGGCCTCGGTCGCTGATACAGACCTCACTGCGTTCGGTCTGTACTGGCGACCTCGGTCAAGATTCTCCCATACAGACCTCCCGCTAGGTTGATAAGAACTAAGTACTTATATAGTGATTACAAGGATTCCTAGCTCTGAAAAATAGCCGAGACTGCACTTGTGTAAAAAAGTATTTCAGTATAGTGGTGTCAAAACTTGATGAGAGGAATTTTAACCGATTTTTCATGTGAACATCAACAGGAGTGTATAGGAAGACAGATTAGTGCTTCAAAATAGTTTAAATATGTCCGGCCCTCAGTAAAGGAAAACGCAAATGCTTCGGGATGCGCTGTTCAAAAGATTTCAATCTTCGCCTTCGCATTCGACAACCTATCTTCGCCCTCTGGGAGATTTAAAGATGATATGAACTTGGCAAGACTTATGAACGACAGAAATAATGCTGCCAGTAGAAATTATAAACTGTGCGGAGAGTACAGGCTATCCTTATTAACCATATGGGGTTAGCTAATGCTAAGGTTATTCAATGACGGTCAGGGTCCGGTACCACTCTTGTACACGCAACGTACACAAAACAGAAAAACAGAAAAGCAGAAAAGCAGAAAAGCAGTTTTATTGAACTCTAAAAGACTTGCACGTTGTCAAGCTATAATTACCTTTCATCTTGCAATGTTTATACCCCTCCCTCTCGAACTTCGAAAGAAAAAGTCGCAGTCCATTCTTATTGAGAAATACTCAGTAATTACAGACTTCATTTTACACTATTTTTTTTTTCTGGCTTTCGGTTGCCTATTGGAATCCTTAGTTTTCTTTTGCAGTTATTCCTCTTGCTTCATCTGGAGAAAGTGATTATTCTTATAGCTTTATTTTGTGAATTAAGTAAAAACATTGACTGAGACAGGCATTACCCCAATTACGCAATTTAAGAATGGCTCTACTTATCAATAGGTTCATGCTTTAGCGTGCTGTATCGAGTTATGGACTCACGTGGGAAGTTTGGAGTGGTCGACGTCGAAAGAAGCGTAAGAGTTGCCCGTGGCAATAGCCGAGGGCAACTCTAGCTTCTTGAGTGCTCTCCAAATTTCCCACGTGCTCCATAACTCGATAGTGCACAACTAAAAACATGAAACAATTGTTTTATAACAAATGTTTTATAAGCCGGTGGAATTATGCATAAAATCCGACGCGAAAAACGGACAACAATATCAGAAGTGATTGTTCGCGGTAAGCGAAATATTGAGCAAAATAGGAATTGGTTTTATTTCAAATTTTCTGTTGAAAGCTCGAGTTTTATTTTACTGCTGTTTAAATACAAAATAATTTAATTTGTTGTCATTTATTTGGTTTTACCAGAGTGTCTTTTTGTCAAAGTTTGTTGCATTTCACCCTCGGACAGTGAAGCGAATCGTGACGGCGCTGATGCCGAGTCTCCTTTTCCTTTGTTTTTTTCTTTTTCTGCCTCACAATTATAACACAAGAAAAAAGGTCGGAAAGTTGTCTTTGTTTTGAACCTGGTGGGCCGAGTCTCTGTTTGTATCCATTATTGTCGCGAAATATATTATTTTTCCCCGCG